AGCCTTTCCTATCAAAGTATTTTCTAAATACATTTTTATAAATATATTGACTTGAAGCTTGGATTCTGCCTGGTTTGTTGCTCCAGAGAACAGGGGGAAAAGTGGGTTTAAATGTGCAGGAAACACTGGTAGGGAGTCTCTAATAGGGCTCTCCCACAAAAAAGCCCAACACTTTTTGTAAATGGGTGATTTCCAAGTTTCAGACAAAGGGCTTGTCCAGACGGGCATATAGATCAGTACATGGATCACTGTTGGTACAGTTTGGTTCGAACTAAATGATAGAGTTCACATATTTTCTATTTAGATCAATCAAACCTGCTACTGTAGGATCTATTGTGCACCTTCCTGGCATAGTGCTACGGCATGTATTATTTTTGGTGCGATTCAGTATGATCCTAATAAGCTCATTGTGTAGCCTGTGTGGATAGTTAGCTTGCATCCAAATGGAGCTGTGGGCAGCATTACCTGAGGTGGCAACTCTGTGATGGGGTGGGAACAGAGAAACCCCCTCCTCCATTTTTACCTTTTTTTAGAAAACATTTCCCTAATAGAGATAAAATAGATTTCATTAAAGATAAGAACTTTTTAAGTGAACCAAACCTTTCCAAATTCCCATGTCTGGACAGGGCCAAAGACTTGTCAGGAAAAGTGATTTCAATTTTCTTTAATACATGCTATCTTGTGACCACTAGATGGCAATAATTCTCTGTATAGTACTGGGAAGATAAACTACCAAAAGCAGAGAATTTAGCAGTTATATTTGGCTATGTGAAACAAGGTCCCAGTAATTATCTGTATTCAAAATAACAGAACCGGGCAGAGAGTTGTGGGGAAAGGTTTCCCAGCACATCTACACAACAAAAGCACATGGCTATTTTCCTGTGTATTTAATCATTTCCTGGATTTTGTATTGCAGAATCCTTGCAATATAAATAGTGCAATTATATAAATTCAAGACCTAAAAATTCATGCCTTAAACTTAAATATCCCTTCAAGTGTTTACCAATTACTTGCTTCTATTCCTGGAATATATACAAAGTCACAATAATATGTTAATAATTATATTTTAGTATTTTATTTATTTAGCTGACATTTAGCTAGCTTGCTAATCAGAATATCATGGGCTACTTTGTCAAATGTTGTCCTGAAGTCAAGATTTATTACATCCACAGCATTCCCACAGTCTACCAGAGAAGTTTCCCAATAAAATGAGATGAGATTAGTCTGGAAGGATTGTTCTTGACAAATAGGTTTTGGCTTCTAATTATTACTGCATTGTTAAGCAACAATTTCTAGCAATGAAAAATCTGTTCATGAGTCTCTGAATCAGAAATTGGAGAAAGTCAAATGTACCATAACATCACGTCCTTGTCTGCTGACAGTATCTTCTGAAGGCAATATGAGTGCCTGTACAGCTCTGGATGGAATTTCACCAGCATATCACAAATAATTGGCAAGTTGGAACAATCATAACTTAAAAATTCAGGAATCCCACAGAAAGTGCATATAACTTATCACTGAGATGAGCAGCTGTGTTTCCTGTACGGTTGGGTTTTACATGGCTCATTTTGGCATTGGGTCCTTATTGGTTTAAAACATCAAGATAAGAGGAGACAACTGTGGTGCTCCACAATCTGCCGTTGCTCCAATCAGCCCTTGTCAGCATAGCCAATGCTGAAGAATCATGGGAGGTTGGTTCACCTCATCAACATCTAAAGTAACTCAAACAACTAATATCTGGGCACATCTCTTGCTTGAATGAATGATTCATCCTTCTCTCTTTGATGCAATCACTGTAAGGTCCCAGGACAGGGACAGGAGGCGTTTATGGGAGTGCCGTAGCTCCCAAGGATGTCTAGGGAGACTCAGACAACCCCACCACCTTCTCCTCCTAGAAAAGAACATAAGAATGTGGGCACCAAAAAGCTAGAGGACAGTATAAGGAAGGAAGGGAGAAAACATCAGCAAGTAGATACCCAGGACCTGGGAAGGGGAATACAAGAGTAAATATATCCACCCAGACGGGGGAGGATTTGGCGGGAAAGGAGCAACGGTCGATGGTGGAGGCGGGAACAGGGGATATAAAAGAGGGACGGGACAAGATACCAGGGGGTTGGGAGATGATCTGGGTTCAAGACCCGTGGGCTGGTAAATGGGAGCAAGTGAGAGTCCCTCATGAGGAGGCAGAGAAGGAGAAAGGGGTTGCCTCAAAGACCATCTTACTGGGGTGAAACCGAGACGAAGGAGTGGAGGAGACGTATCAGAGAGGAGAAGGAGCGAATTGCCATAGAACAGGAGGCGAAAAGGGTATGGCATCTGGAGGAGCTCCGGAAGATGGGCTGCTTCTTGGACCGTGGTTGGATAACCTGGGAGAGGGATCCCCGGTCTGGGGATGGACAGGGGATGAGGAAACCCTCCTCCTTTTGACTCCAGAGGGGGATGAACCCGAACCCCAAGGAACAGAAAAGGTTTTGTCAGGACCTTGGAACGTGAAAGCTTTGAACCTGTTCATGGACATCCTTGCGAGCATTGTTCCCGCCGCAAGAGAAGTTATTGGTTCCTCCGGTTGATGTTTCTATCCCTTTACCCCCTTTAATAAATCAAGAACAAAAGTTGGATTTAAAATCGTCTCGTGATTTATTTGGGGAAAAGGAGAGCCCGATAAATGAACCTTCACAATCATACATGACAATACTTTATTTTAAAAATAGGTGGGTGTTTTCTTGGCTTTGATGTAAGACACTGAATTGGGATACTGAATCTGCAAGGATGGAAATTCAATTCAGAATACTATTTTTTGAATTTGTATACGACTGCTCGCTATGTATTTTAAAAAGGGAAAACAGAAGTGCCTACCCTGTTTCCCCTAAAATAAGACCTCACCTGAAAATAAGCCCTAGTATGATTTTTCAGGATGCTCGTAATATAAGCCCTACTCCAAAAATAAGCCACAGTTAAGGGGAAACACAGCCCTCCACCATTGTGCAGCAACCAGAAGACACGAATAAATGTAGATTGTTGTACATGAAAAAAAATAAAATATCCCCCGAAAATAAGCCCTAATGTGTTTTTTGAGCAAAAATTAATATAAGGCCCTGTCTTATTTTCAGGGAAACAGGGTGTAGGAAAAAGTACACAAGTGCTTATTTTTACAAAATAATGTATTTCTATTGCAATAATTTATAAATTGATTTTCACAAAAAGGGAAGTAAACCATAAATGGTTTTACTTTAAATCTTTTGAGTGATCCTCCTGATTAATGAATGCAGTATCCTGAGAAAGGGATATTTCTGATTAAGACAAGAAGATTGGACCCGGGGCATTCAGGTTGCTGTCACAGTCCATCTGATCTCGACTAGAGATGGATACGAACCTCCTCAGTTTGTACGGTCATGCTGTGTGTTCCCTTCCCCCGCCTCTCTGGTTGGATGCCCACTCACTAGCTGGCACACACTCCTGTCTTCCTCCTCTTCTGCCCACTCAGACAAGGAGGCAGGACAGGCAAACCCATGCTCTTGCCAGGGAATGGACGAACAGCCAGAGAAGAGGAGAGGAGCACACATTGGCCAGGGTGCTTGCCTCTAATCTTGACCATATCACCTACATTGATTGGTGATATAAATAAAACTCCTGCCACTGTTGTTTGTTTGGTCAACTCAGGATGTGACTACATAGCAGGGAAATGCGCTGTTCTCTGCAGTTTTCCAAATCAGGTCCCTGCTGGTTTCCACAGGTGAAATGGTTGTAGTCATCCAAACAACAAACAATTACAGTGTTGCAGGAGTCACCAGGGATGAAGCAGAGAAAGCTATGAAATGTGTTTAAATGGAAGCTGCCTTTGATCTGAAAGCTGCCTTTGATCTGACAAAGTGTGAATTGGTAATTTCCACTAGAAGCACCCCTCCCCTTTGCTTCTCCTTCCCTTCCAAGCTGCAATAGCATTTAACAGAATCAGCACTAACATGAAAACATTTGTTTTTAAAAAAATCTTTAGAGACAACAACTGTTTGGGTGAGGGAACCAACAGCCCTGTGAATGTCCCTTTTCAAGAGATCAGACAATCATACAGGGCAGAAAGCAGAGAAAACTGATGTCAGCCCAGTCTGAACAAAATAAGACTACCCCTGCTAGGTGAACAAAAAGAGATACAGTAACTCCCCACTCAAAAGGGACAATCCCTTAATGGCCTTCCCCACACTGAGCTTTACATCAAGCAGTCACCGTTTTCCAATTTGATTTCATCCATGCAAAATCAGCTTAAAGCTGCCAATGCAGTTACTCCTAAAGCCAGCTTTTCGGCCTCAAAACAAGGGAATGCCTCCTGAATGCAAACCTAGATGCTTGGAACCTTAATAACAGTCTTCTGTCTTAACCCCTCTCTGATCTATTAGCAAATTTACTTTCTATATACTATGCTACTAGACATCACTTAAAAGAAATCATGGCTGAATTTAAAAACATGATTTGGCTAGCTAATAAATTAAATTTTAGAGACTGCTTCCTCTTACTGTTCTTTCAAAACAGGAAGAGCTATACAGTGGGGTCTCTACTTAAGAACGTCCCTACTTAAGAACAATCCAACTTAAGAACAGCTCCATTTGCTAAATCTTGCTTCTACTTGAGAACAGAAATCCAAGATAAGAACAGGGAAAAAAAACCTTTCCTGCTGTTTTTTTACCCTTAGGTCATCTTAGGTTAAAAAAAATTCTCCCCCTAGTGGTAGAGTACGCATTAACCAGCTTTGCATTAGTTCCTATGGGAACTAATGCTTCAATGTACGAACGCACCTCTACATAACAAAAAAACAGCCAGAACGGATTAATTGGTTTTCAGTCTATTCCTATGGGAAATTTTGCTTCAACTTAAGAACGTTTCAACTTAAGAACACCATTCCAAAACTGATTAAGTTCTTAAATAGAGGTTCCACTGTAGTTTCTATGGACGGAAAAGAACAGATACGGATTAAATGGTTTTCAATGCATTCCTATGGGAAATGCAGATTCAACATAAGAACTTTTCAACTTGAGAACCACCTTCCAATGCGGATTAAGTTCTTAAGTAGAGACCCCACTGTAGTGCCATATGTATGTACTGGCCACATTTGACCTGGTGCAATTATACATATTTAGAAAGAGACAAACTAACATGGGTACATCTTTGGAAACTGCTGTATTATTTGAGGCATAGATACTAAGACTAAATTCATGCATGTTTAGCATTTTTACATAGCATTATTTTAACAGTCTTTATAAAGTTGGAGGAAAAAAAAACCCTAAACCTTCAGGATCTAAATTTTGCCTTCTCTAGTTTCAAAGACAAGGCAAAACATAGAGAAGTGGCATGAAGCACACACAAGAAGCACACACCCGTAGACAACATTTTGAGGAGGAAAAGCTTCTGAACCGCACTTGCATATACAGAATTCCCAGGAATTCTTTTTGTTCTTCCAGGAACGAATATCTGTGATCTGCCATCACAGGTTAGGATGCTTAGTTTTGTAAATCTTATATGCATCAAGAATTTCTTCAATGACACTGGGGTCATCCAGTGTGGTGGTATCTCCCATGTCACCAACTTCATTTGTCACTATTCTCCGAAGCAGCCTTCTCATGATTTTCCCTGAACGAGTTTTTGGAAGACGCTTCACTACCTGTTTGAAAAGGATAAATAGTACATTGTACCATGTTGTAAATAAATATAACAATACTAATCTAGATACATACATAGTTATACTGTCTCGAGACATAAGCCTGGCTCAGATGTAACAGAAAACTATGGTTTTCATTGCATGAACATGTAAGGAGAGGAAATTTAAAACGTTCTTAATGCCATTTGCAACAAATCAGACTTTCCTATTATATATGAAATTCAGACACTGTCCTTTGGTCATAGTTGCAGTTTGCATTGCTTCCGTTCAAGGTTCCAACCGCTCCATTCCATTCTTTGCTCCTGCCCAGCATTCATGCAATGCTCCCCCTCCCCTGGACCCATTCATAAGAATTTTATATCCATTAAATATTAAATCTTAATTTTGCAATGGGTGATAACTTCTGGATTTGGGCAGTTTGGATATGACAATGCCCAGTCTCAGCTACACTGAAATATTAGATCTTCCCCCTTGGATTTCTATAGGCAACTCTTATTTCCATTTTTATGGACACAAGGGAGTCTCATGGTGCAGTGGTTAAGCTTCAGTACTGCAGTCAAAACTCTGTTCACAACCTGAGTGCAGTCCTGATGGGCTCCTGGTAGCCAGCTCAAGGTTGACTCAACCTTCCATCCCTCTGAGGCTGGTAAACTGAGTACCCAGCAAATGGGAGGTAATGTGTAGCTTGAATAATTAAATCAAAAACCTGCCAGAGAGTGCTTTAAGCACTATGTGGTGATATAGAAGCAGCACACTTTACATTTAAAATAGCTTCTATGAGGAATTGGAATGCTGTCTATTCAGGCAATGGCTGGAATAATGATTTACAACAAAATAATGGAACCTATAAGTTTAAAGTCTACATTTATAACCTGTAAGCAAATTGCTGCAAGTTAAGACATCAGCTAAGGCATCTGATACTGCATGTCAGATTGTCTAACTCAGCATGCAACAGTAAATTCCATGTGCTCTCTTAACTTGTGGCAATTCACTGCTGAAAGTTATGCTGGCTGTGCCACACTAATGGGAGTAACCAATAGGTTTTTGATCAATTACATAATTCTCTTCCTCCATCTTTCTTTTCTATCAATTGCATCCCCTTTCCTCTCCCACCTGGCCTTTGGTCCCCAACCAGAGGCAGCCAAGAATACTGTGTTCATTAAGCATGATTTCAATGGGTTTCTCTGTTTTTATTTTTCCACTTAAATATTAAACCACACAAACAGGATGCGAGTCAAGCAGTATCCTCTACTACTGTGTTCCCAAGCAACTTGTATTAATAGGCCCATTGCCTCTGCTACCATAAGCCTGCTAGGCAACCTCCAGAGGTCCAAGGACCATACATATCCATCCCTGGACAAGTGGTTGCACCTGCTCCCATGTGCCCAAAGAGACTCAGCTGATAGTTCTGTACTCTCTGTAACTTTGAGAGTGTGGCATTATTAAAAATCAGTTATTTGGAACTCTTTAAAACGTTCACTATCATCCTAAAGAACTTACCAAAACATGATCAGGCACAGCATACTTGGCTATCTTGGAAGCAACAATTTCTCTTAACTCTTTGGCAACTATTTCTGGATGTGCCTTTTCATCTTTCAGTACAACGAAGGCAAATGGAACTGGAAGAAAGGGCAACTTTTATACCCAATGCATTGCAAGAATTTTCAATATATATGGTGCACTCCTCCTCTCTACATAACAAGCCACATGTTGAATAAGGCATTATTTAATGTATAAAGATATATTATCAGATAGCAGAGCTTGGAAACTATACACTAAAATTAACACATTAATGTTAAAGTAATGGTTTTTCTCTGGACCTATGCCAGACCAAACAGCTCTTGTATTCCTAAATTTAAAAACCTGTTTTTAAAAGTTTAATTAATGTGACTTTTACTTTTAAAAACATTAGTTTTTCATGCCTCTCTGCAGAAGAGACAGGACAGTCCACACTACTCTTCCTAAATTTAAGGAGTACTGTATAACATTGTAAGAAGGATGTCTCCGTTGTCCCTAGCAGACCACCCACGTCATCCATGAGCCCTCTGGTGGACCATCCAGAGACCTGGATTGCAGGGCAGACCCAAACTCGGCCCAATGGACTACAGGTGACTTGGGCTGAACCAGGGCCTGGGCAGATGGACTGTCAAACACCACTAGGATGACTCGGTCAGAAGGTCATGCTGGCATACCTGCTGCTGAAATAAAGTTCATTGCACTGGCTGAAGGAGATAGACTTGCCCCCCCAACACCTTGGAGGGGGCTGCAGGGACCGCAAATACCCAGAAATTTTAATTATTAGAACCAAGAGTCTATATTATTTCCCAGAGCTTCTAGAATTTACATTAAAAACCATGTGGATCCCCAAGGGTAGGAATGATTAGCTTACAAAGAGACAACTGCTAGCTATTCTTCTTTAACACAACACTGTAAGAAGGTTTGCTTGAAATGCATGCCCAGTTAGAACATGGCTCAAAGACTGGCTTATCTGATCCTGAGCAGTTACTGACTCCATTCCTGTTACACCCCGATGAAGTGAATAGCACTGCCCTATAAATGAAAGGAAAAAAACCTACTGAAAACTGCCAAGAAATTTTTGAGTGGATGACCTAAATATGGAATGGATTTATAAATTATTAGGATGCCCTCAGGTTTATTCATTCAGATCTTATAATTTTAAGGTAGAATGCTCCTAGTTTAATGGCATGTGGCCAAGATCTGAAGCATTTTCGGTCCTACTTGCGGGTCCAACCCTAACCCTGTCCTCACCCTCAGTCAGCCAAACCTCTGCGCTCTTTAAGCATGTTCAGTCCTCCAAGGTTTTCTCTGTTATCTTTTTTTCCACTTGAAGATTAAACGAGGTGCTTTGAAGAAGCGCAAGTCAAATAGCACCCTCCACTATTATGTTCCCCAAGTTGTATTATTAGGCCTTTGATACTGTAGGTCAAATGGGCAACCCCCAGAGGTCAAAGGGCCACACATATACATCTCGGGAGCCCTCCCTTACTCCAAAATCAGGATGCACACAATTGCAGTTTTAAGGCCAGAAGCTTTGCCGTTAGTGCACTGCACTGCAGAATGGACTGTTCTACATGTTTGTCTCTGTGTACTAAAAAAAAAAAGGAACAACAAAGACAATTGCTTCTTGCCTAGATCAATGTGGTGGAATCGTCTTATAAGAGCAGGTATTAACTGAGAATGTAAGCTAACTCTGTTGTGGTTCTTTTTTGTGGTACTGTTTTTAAACAGTCTTTCAAGCAAAATTATTATTAATACGACACCCCACAAAAAAACAAAAACAAACAAACCCTCTAACCATGGTTCTAAAGAACTGAACAAATTGATAACTCAGGTACTTGGACTGGAATTTATTCATGTTTCATTCATGGATCTTAAAAGAAAATGATCAAATATGAAATCAAACATTTGAATAATGATTTTAAAACATTTCATTCACTTACCCTCCCCTTTGATATCATGAGGAAAACTAATCACAGCTGCTTCAGGTACTGCCGGATGCTCATCCTTTTTAAAAAAGATGAATTTAAAAGCATGGTAAACAAATGCCTCTACCTGGTTTAACATCGTACTTTTCTTTTAAAGTTTACATGAACAGATTCCAAAAGGCTAACGTGACCAAATGTGTAACCTGGCTCACTTGTCAGCATGGTGCTAACTCAGTTGTAAGCACTGAGCTGATATTAGGTGACAAATGTTCCACCTGTGGTGGCTAATACCACATGGTTAATTCATACATGCGAGTCATCACTTCATGCCACAGTACGATATCCATGTGTAAGGCAGGCTTTATACAAATCTATAAACATTAATGCTGTTCATTGATCATCAGTTACGGGCTACGTATCTTCTGCAATTACCATGGCATCTTCAATCTCTGCAGTTCCAAGCCTGTGTCCACTGATGTTTAGGACATCATCCATTCGCCCTGTTATCTGGTAATACCCTTCTTTAGTTCTGTAAGCAGCATCTCCTGTGAAATAATAACCTGCAGTGACAAACAGGCCTAGTGTCAGTAAATGCTGATGCAAACATAGCTTATGATCAGAGTGCTGTTAGAAGATACTGTCCATGAGCCCTGTTACATAAAAGCACTGATGTTACCTGTCTGTCATGGGTTTGGAGGGAAAGTTCCATCCTATGGGGAGTGGAAGGCGGGACATCAGGAGGAGGGGCTGTACTGTATAAATATGTGATGCCTGTGTGGCATCTTCAATCTCTGCAGTTCCAAGCCTGTGTCCACTGATGTTTAGGACATCATCCATTCGCCCTGTTATCTGGTAATACCCTTCTTTAGTTCTGTAAGCAGCATCTCCTGTGAAATAATAACCTGCAGTGACAAACAGGCCTAGTGTCAGTAAATGCTGATGCAAACATAGCTTATGATCAGAGTGCTGTTAGAAGATACTGTCCATGAGCCCTACTGGAAAAAATTATGTATATGTAGCACATAGGTTGCAACAAGTCCCTGGAAGTTATGAAAGCAAAAGAAGGAGAAAAAAGCTTGGAGTCATGAAAATATTACATAGTATGTTTTTTTAACAAATACGTCATGGTAAACAATGCGTTTAGTAATACATGCATAATAAGAGTACAGTACATGAGCCAGGAAACTATACTGGTCTGATGTCTCAAGACATAAACATAGGATATAGGACCAGATGCCTTAACTTCTGTGCCACCTTAGCTGCTCACCAGAGGAGGGAGCTGTTAGACCTCTGTTAGATTTCAGTGCCATCACTGTAAATGGCCATAGGGTTTACGGTAGGTATTAACAGCAAGGGCATGGCAAGAAGGTACTGCAAACAGGCAAAGGTGAGAGCCTTTTCCAGGAGGAAAAAGCCAAAGTTGACTACATCCTCAGCATTTGGTCCCAAACAGGCCTGTAGATACTGAGCAATTATCTATCTATATTGTGTTTCCCTGCCCCAGCTTCTGTGCTAGATGGCTATGACACAATTGTGTGTGGTATCCCTTCAAGACTGATCACATTTACTAAGTTATCTTTACAGTTATCAATCAGCATGTTAGCTTTTGTCCTAGCAGGATGCTTGCCTCTCTGAATTACATTCTGCCGTCTTCTGTTATCTTTCTGTAATTTCTATCAGCATTCTTTCTACTTGATAATTCAGGCTCGCACAGTATCAATATAAAACCAAGAGAGATGTTTCAGATTTTTGTTATTATCCACATTGCATTTATATACACCTTTGTTCTTCAGGCAGAATTAATAGAGGTTCTGGATATAGCCCTTCTTAACACAGAACAGGCTGGTGCAGAATTTTTATTTAAGCACAGAGAAAACAACATTAAATATACCACATGCTGTCACAAGAGTATTGGGTGCTAGTTGCACCAACATTTCTTTTCATGATTCTCACCTGGGTAAGCTTTGAAATAAGCTTCTACAAATCTCTGATGGTCCCCATAGATAGTCCGTGCCATTCCAGGCCAGGGCTGTGCGATGCAGAGAGCACCAGAGACATTGTTGCCTTCTAAAATGATGCCCTAGTGATCCAAACAAAATTAAGAGAGTCAGCAGGAAAAATCAGAAAGTACAGTTCCTAGTGTCAGCAGGAAAAGAAATTAAAGTACATTTATGCAAGTCAGCTGAGCTCTAGGGACGTTATCTGCCGGAGGGCAAGCTAACTTGCCTAACTGTACTTTCTCCTCACACCTTTGCAACATCAGCATTAGAACCAGCAAGACAGCTACAGGCATCGATCCTAGTTCTTGCCGAAGATAATATATCGTGGGGTACAAAAGGTCCATGCATCAGAACAAGTTTTCAAAAGAGAGGGTGGAAGATAACATCTGGAACACAAAGAAATGTGATGTCTTCTCTTATCTACCTTCTTTCTTACCAGGGATGGGGATTCGGATCATGGAACTCGCTGGCAAGTTAGTCTCAAGTCACATTAGTGACTTGACTTGGGTTTTGTTTTTTTACAATGACTCAGACTTGACTGGTGACCTGGAACCCACACACCCCATCCTTTTTTTCTGGGGGAAAAGCTTGTTTTTAATAGGGACTCAGACTTGGCGCTTGGGACTCGGTACCAAAGACTTGGATTTAGGACTCAGAGCCAAAGACTTGCCAACATCCCTGCTTCTTACTCATACCTCCAGCCAAATACTTAATTTATGTTACACCACAAAGATGCAACCACTTTTCTGTGGTGATGCTGCAGGATCAGCTGCTCCTCCAGGGTTAATTATACTAGTTCTAAGAACTGAAAATTGCTTATGTTCATACATCAGTGAAGAGACAGTATGGCTTCAGGGTTGGCCTTGAACCTAAAACAAATCAGGGTCCAAATTCCTGTTCAGTTACTAGATAGCTTTTAAAAAACATTATTTTCATTCCCCCCCCCTTGCAAATATAAACAAGGAGAAGGAATATCTGGAAAAAATGATAAAACAGTTGAATATACTTCATTTCCTTATCTGCCTCTCTTTGCAAGAGAATATTGCCTTTCTCTCAAGCCTTCATCTTAAAAATGGGAATAAGAAACCATTCTTACAACGAAAAATATAAAGCATCCATGGCTCATCTGACATTTCTCCCATTTCTATTCTTCTACGTACTTCTTCCAGCTCTTCACAGGATCACAAAGTGCAGATTTAGAAGAGACATTAAAACATCCAGCAGAAAGCCACAACTAAATCATCCCTACAGAATGCAATGCAGCCACCATTTAAAAAACTCCAAGGAAGGATAGTCCACCTCCCTCTGTGACTAGACAGCCTAATTTGTTCTGGCCTGGATAGGTGCTAAATAGGGTCACTCTGAGATGCAATATGTCATTTGGAGCAACCCTTGCATCCACATGCAAAGATTGACCACACTGGATCTCAAGTGTCACAGTTTTACAGCAGCCAAACTGTTAACTTAGAGCAACACATTTTATGTTCAGATTTTACTGCATGTTTTAAAATATAGATTTTTAAATGTTTAGGGGTTTAGGAAAACTACATAAACAAACAAACAAAAACAAACCAGCATCTCTACTAATATATCTTTGTATGTTTATCATCAGAATTTTACAGTATTTCATTTCACCTTTTCATCCATCAGTACTGGGTTAATCCCATAGAAGGGCCGCATTGCTATAGCTGGAATGATCTCAGCTTCTTTTTCTGAAGGTCGAGGAGCAATGCAAATGCCACCAGTTTCTGAAAGAATAATAAAAAAGAAGAATGAGGAGAGAAAGTCAGCTGAAATGTCAGAATCTTCTGCTGTTCTGTAATTAAAGGAATACTGAAACCCAACTGAAAATTAATGTTTGCTATTAATTTTAATGAAATGATCCGTTGTATCACCCGAAATAAACTGAAGAGGTTTGTAAACAGTTCTTGTCATGAAACTGATTCTTTAAGGCTCAAGCATTTTCTTACCCTTCCCCAACAATAACTACAACACCCTAAACTTCCAGCATGCATGCACACAGCAGAAGCCCATTCTTAATTGGCATATATCTTTGTGTGTGTGTGTGTGTGTGTGTGTGTGTGTGTGTGTGTGTGTGTGTGTGTGTGTGTGTGTGTGTGTGTGTGTGTGTGTGTGTGTGTGTTTTTTTTTAGGAGAGAAAGTCAGCTGAAATGTCAGAATCTTCTGCTGTTCTGTAATTAAAGGAATACTGAAACCCAACTGAAAATTAATGTTTGCTATTAATTTTAATGAAATGATCCGTTGTATCACCCGAAATAAACTGAAGAGGTTTGTAAACAGTTCTTGTCATGAAACTGATTCTTTAAGGCTCAAGCATTTTCTTACCCTTCCCCAACAATAACTACAACACCCTAAACTTCCAGCATGCATGCACACGGCAGAAGCCCAGAGTCACTGGGAAATACATTCTTAATTGGCATATATCTTTTATGTGTGTGTGTGTGTGTGTGTGTGTGTGTGTGTGTGTCTGTGTGTGTGTGTGTTGATTTATTGTCTTTCCCATCTAGTGGTGAGCCACTATTCTGCATATCTGTGTATCTGTTGTAATGTTGTTGTAATTAAGTCGCTGCAGACTAATGGCAACCCTATGAATTAATTACTTCCAAAAGGTCCTATCATTAACAGCCCTGCTCAGGTCTGACAAACCAGAGGCCATGGATTCCTTTCTGGGTCAACCCCATCTCACATTAGGTCCTCCTCTTTTCATACTGTCTTCTACTTTTCCAAGCATTGCCACCTTTTCCAGTAAGTTCTGTTTCTTGCGATACTGTATGTCCAAAGTATGAGAGCCTCTGACACGTTATTTAGCTCCAACTGAGAGTTCAAAATTAATTTGCTCTAAAACTCATTTATCTGTCCTTCTGCTGGTCAACGGTTCTCTATAAAATTCTTTTCCAATGCTACATTTTGAATACATTTATTATTTTCTTGTCAGCTTTCTCCAATTTCCAACTTTCACAACCACATGCAATCATCAAAAGAAGTAAGTACAGGCGATCTTGGCCTTGGCCTCCAGCAACGTGTCCTTACACTTAAAGGTCTCCTGTAGCTACCTTTCAGCCTTCTGATTTTGTCACACTGTACACAGCAGAAAAAAGGAGAGTGCTTGTAGGTGTGAAAAAAAGCAACTGCATCCTAGAGCCTCCTGTGAATGCTGCCACATCCTTTTGCACAAGACCATTCAACAGGATTTATACCACCACAATCATCAGGTATGACCTTGGCAGAAACATGACAGAAGTGTCCAGGCCTGGTTCTTAACATCCTCCAGGGATATCAATGCCCATGTAACAATACATAGATGTTACATGTCTCTATTCCACCACCATGAAACTGCATAGGAAATTGTATTCAACCCAGTTTCATGTGCTTAGCAAGTGATTTCAACAGCAATGATGGAAGTGCAAGGATATTATGGAATGTGCTTCCTTGTGCTGTTTTCACAGCACTTCAAATGGTTTGTCGAAAAGCGGTTTATGAGACTAAAATGCTATTATTGTATAGGATTAGATCCACCCACCCATTATGGGCATTCTCCGATTATTTTCAATTCAGGACTGAGCCTCTTAATCATTCTTCCCTCGTTTCCATCAGGATAAATGTTAAATCAGATCAGAGATTTCAACCTTAATCAGATCTTTTATAGCCTAACACTAACAAATACACAAAATAACCAATAGTAATAAAACCAAAGAAATATTAAACTCCAGAATAATAAAAGCCCTACCCCACCCCAAGTTGACACTAATGTTTGCAATTCTTTTGATAGCAGCAATTTACACCAAATGAAGATTTACTGTAGAATGGCTAAGTTATTAGTACTCTTTAAGGATTTTGCCTCTTGCTTGCCCTCTTACGGGTGGAGGAGAAGAGAAGAGAGCTGTCCTACTTGGCACAAAATAGCAATCCTCCATCTTTTTTCATTTATAAAGATCAGGGCTCAAACATGGCTTATATGCTAACAGGAAAGTTATTTGGAAAGACTCCAAGGTAATAGATGTGTGCCCTAATTACAAAACCCTGCAAATATCTTAAAAGTCATCATTACTGCTCATCGTGTATAAAAGTATTTTGAGACATTAGCTTCTTTATCTTGTTTGTCCTTAGAAGTCTTGGGAAGTAGAAGAACCTAGTTCTTTTTTCACCAGAGAGGAACCAGAGCAATATCTCATATGCCATAAGACAACATACCACATGCCTATTTTATGCAAGGAGAAGAGATACACTCAAGACATGTGCAGCAAATCCGTAGTTGCTCCTAAATATTTGTCCCTAGCATGCATGTTTTACAAACAAACAACTCGTATTTTTACATATATCTTAAGATAAATGTTCACAGTTAATACATATTTTTAAAGTGTCTGCTCTCTGATTCACTTTTTTCATGTTCTCTATGGTTTACAGGAGTGGTTGAGAAGCAAACAGTTGTCATGCAAACACCAGCAGCTAAAGCACTGCCATTTGGAGCTGTGAAAGAACTACCCGCAGCAAACGGAAGAATGCCTCACAGGGTCAAGTGGCAGAAATTAGATAATCAATTGTACAGACCCTGTTGGCAGAGATATAGATTTCAACATCTACTCAGGGTTTGCTAAAAATATTGGTGTTCGTTAGGTAGGCAACATAGGTTTGGTGCATGTATATGATAGAACAATAAATTGGTTTTTAAAGGTAGGTTTCTGCTGAGTAAATCACTGCTAAGGAAGGGATTTTAATGAGGGAATGATACCATTTGTCTTTTAGAATGTGTTCTTAATTAATTAATTTATTGAGTTGATTTATATACTGCCCCTTTAGTTGAAACACTACTCTGGGCAGTTTACAAATTAAAACTTAGAATCCCACATGACCTCACATTCAGTATGGTGATTCACCAATATAGATCTAACATTCATACAAAAAAATAAAAATAAAGGAAAAACGAGAAAATAAAAAATTATATCAACAGCATCTGGAGGATAAGTTATTTAAGGCAGCTTTGTATAATTCTGTTTTCACCAATTTCCTGATTATCAGAAGGAATAAGACTAGCGTATCTCAGTTGGAAACTTATTCCAAGGAATGGGGCCAACACTGAAAAAGCTCAATTCCTTGTTGTCACATTTTTATCTCCCTCACTGTGGCCACTTTTAACAACATGAATTGAGAGGAGCAGGTGAAGGGGTAGCTGATTTCTATAGGAAGCTTTTTCCATAGAGAAGGTCACGACTGAGAAAGCACGGTTCCTGGTGCTAGCTCTTTCTGCCTCACTAGGTGTTAAAATTTTTAACGCAAGGATTGTGAAGAGCAGGTGGGATGGGTAGCTGTTTTGTGGGAGAGACATTCCAATGAGCATCAGGGTCCTAAGCCATTAAGGGCTTTATAGGTCATAACCAAGGGACGTGGTGGCGCTGCGGGCTAACCCGCAGAAGCCTGTGCTGCAGGGTCAGAAGACCAAGCAGTCGTAAGATCGAATCCGCGCGACGGAGTGAGCGCCCGTCGCTTGTCCCAGCTCCCGCCAACCTAGCGGTTCGAAAGCATGCAAATGCAAGTAGATAAATAGGGACCACTTCGGTGGGAAGGTAACAGCGTTCCGTGTCTAAGTCACATTGACCATGTGACCATGGAAGATTGTCTTCGGACAAACGCTGGCTCTATGGCTTGGAAACGGGGATGAGCACCGCCCCCTAGAGTCGAACACGACTGGACAAAAATTGTCAAGGGGAACCTTTACCTTTACTTTACCTAGGTCATAACCAGCATCTTGAATTAAACACGGAAACTGACAGGAAGCCAGTGAAGCCAAGACCGGGAATATATGATTGAATTTATTAGTCCCAGAAATCAGTCTGGCCATCACATTTTTGCATGGACCACTGTTACTAAGCATTTCTTATCCAGGTAGGGGGTGCAACTGGGCAATCAACCATAGTTGATAGAAGGCACTCCCGGCCAGGGCCAATATTTGAGCCCCCATAGAGAATGCCAGGCCCAGGAGTACCATAAACCTACAGATCCAATCCTTCAGGGGAAGAATCACCCCATAAGGACAGGTAAACTTCCCTCTAACCAGTCCAACGATCCTCCTAACAACAGAATTTCCATCTTATCTGGATTCATCCTCATGATTGGCCCTTATTGGCCCTCATCCAGTTCATTGTCAACACTAGGCAGCACTGAAGCACTTGTACAGCATCCTCTACCAAAGGAGGTAGAGCTGCATGTCATCAGCATACTAGTTAAAGAGAACCCCAAATCTCTGCAGGACTTCTTCCAGCAGCTTCATATATGTGTTAAAGAGCACTGGGGGCATGATCAACCTTGTGGAACTCCACAGCAGAGGTCCCAAGGGGTGGAGATGGCATCAACAAGCTGTACCATCTGGGACTGACCATCAAGGAAGGACCAGAACCAGCAGGGAATGGAGCCTCTATTCCCTAAACTTGATAGCCTTCTCATGAGGATACCACGATTGATGGTATCAAAGGCTACAGAAAGATCCAGGAGGACCAACAGGGTTACACTCCCCGTCTGCCTCTCTCAGGGGATTGTCTTGCAGGGTGACCAATGCTATTTCAGTACCATGCTGTGGCCTAAACCACGACTGATGTGGATCCAGACTATCAGTGTCTTCCCAGAACACCCACAACTAACCAGTCACCACCCTCTTGATTAACTTGCCAAAAACCAGAATATTTTCTGTAGGTCTGTAGTTGTTTAGATCATCCATTGCCAAATTAGTTTTCTT